GTTGAACAATGAGAACACATGGACACAGGGAGGGGAGCACTACACACTGGGGTCAGTTGGGGGGAAATAGAGGAGGGATGGTGGGTGGTGGGGAGCTGGGGAGAGACAGCAAGGGGAGAGATGCCAGATGTAGGTGATGGGGAGGAAGGCAGCAAATCACACTGCCACGTGTGTACCTATGCAACAATCTTGCATGTTCTTCACATGTACCCCAAAACCTAAAATGCAATAAAATAAATAAATTGGGGAAAAAAATGGAGTTGTGGTGGCATACCACAGCATTAATGGCACTACAGTTCATTAACATGTGAAGTGCTTCATTTTATGAAAACATCACAATTAAGTTAATTTTCTGTCATTGCATTAGTTTTGCTTCCAGTATTCTCCATTTACAAACTGTACTGCTAAAACATTCTTGTATTTGTGTCTTTACGTATACTTGAACAAAGATTTTTTTTAATTGAGTCCAAAATATATTTATATGAGAAAGTGCTCAATTGTTTTGAAAATAGACAAATTTTAACTGTAAACAACTAATTTGATTCACACACACTCTCCAAAATTTGATATTTTCAGATTTCTTAAATTTTTCCCTGTCTTGAGGGCATAAAGTTATATTTTCTTGTATCATAATTTTTTTAGACATCATGTTTGAGTATAAATTAATTAAGTTAGAATTGCAGCACTTCTAATAGAGATAACTACTTACAAAAAGATAAAAATATCTCTCAAAACATTTAATTTAAATAAGTATGTGTTACAACCAGCTGGTAAGCTATAGGAATCTGAACAAAATGACATTTATTCTCAGTTTTCAAAATATTAAGAGCTCTTCAAGAACATATTAATTCTAAATTATTTGAATTTTCTTCATAATTATCCCAATATGGGTTTCTATATGCTTCTTCATTCTGTTGAAAATTATAACAAACATCTTTTTTATTAAAAAAGTTGTACTTCACATAAAATTTAAATAAGTTTACCATACTTTAGCATATGAGTTTAATTTTCAGAAATGCTCTAGCTGTATTCAAGATCTATTTAGTTTATATATCTGTATTTTTATTAATGAATATTGGCACTAAATCTTAGAATTGAAATAAAGGAGGAGAGGTTTATTCTTTTTCTAAAACACCTAATTTTTCTCACTGACTAAAGCAGATTAATTTTTAGTATTTTAGATTATATAATAACCTTTAATATATTAGATTATTAAATGAACATTATTAAATAGATCAACAATAGTATTTTGGCATCTGATTCATTTTTAATTGACATGTACTAATTTTACATATTTAGGGGTTACATGGTGATGTTTTCATACACATAACATATAGTGATTAGTTTACTATACTTACCATGTACACTGCCCTCAAGTATTTTATCCCTTCTTTGTGTTCACAATATTTCATATCCTTTTTTTACCTATTTGAAACTATATATTATTATTAACTTTAGTCATCCTACAATGCTATAGAACAATAGAATTTATCTCTTTTGTCTAGTGATAATTTTACATCCTTTAACAAATCTCTCTCTATCCTCTTTCATCAAATTCTTTAACTATCATGGAAACTGACTTGCTTCACTGCAATATTTGTGAATAGCTCTGAGCTGGTTTTCTAACATTCATGTATGAATTCAAAGAATATGTATTGGCCATGTTTCCATTCCATGTGCTATGTAATGATGTGAAACTTCAACATCCCTTCTTTTACACAACGTACAAGAGAGTAAGCTAATGCCATTTAGAAAATTCTCCTAACACTGCATTTTACAATACACTATATTATTTGGTATACCCACATAGCAAGCACTCATTAGTCATAATAACCACATAGACGTACGAAACTATGATCAACAATTGACACTGTATATGATATGATATATTCAGCTCATCACATTACTCACTCAGAATCCACCTCCTAACAACTATATCATTGACTGTATGACTTGGAATTGTACGTTTTGTTGCTAACTTATACAACCTATCTGGAAACTACGTGAATATTTCCTCCTACTGTCTCTTAACTTTTACCCTGCCTTTCTGAACTGGGTCTTCAACTTGGAAAAACTCTATAAATTACATTTCTTTTTTCTATTCCAAATACAACAATCTCAATCCAACTTGCTTATTTAACTCTTTCCTTCCATTCAAATCTACTTCTAATTTTACCTTGCCCTTTCACCATCAAGGTTTTCTTTTGCCCCTTCTCCTTCTCACATTTTGAATTTTCTACTACCCTTCAACGTTTTCTTCCTCCAATGTATTTTCTCTTCTTTCTCTACATACATACATTAGGACAGTTCTACAACTACTCTCGTATGACTGCAGGACAGTTTTAGGTTAAACTGATATTTAATAACCATATTAGTACATTCCTATACTGCTATAAAGGTATACATGAGACAGTGTAATTTATAAATAAAGGAGTTTTAATTAGCTCACCGTTCTGTGGACTATGCAGGCTTAATTTTGGGAAGATCTCAAGAAACTTACAATCATGATGAAAAGGTAAAAGGAAAAGCAGGCATGATCTTAACATAGCTGGCAAGACAGACAGAAAGTGCATCAGAAGGTGCCACACACTTTTTAAACAACCAACTCTCATGAGAACTCTATCACAAGACATTACTGTACTGGAAAGATGGTGTTGAACCATTAGAAACCATCCCCATGATCCAATTACATCCCACCAGTCTCCACCTCCAACAAAGGCAATTACAATTCAACATGATGATTGGGTGGGAACACAGAACCAAATCATATCAATAACCTTTTGGGCCCCAATGCTTTAGTCATTGTTTAATACATTCTGCATACTACAAGAATTTCTCTATATATTCACTCTAATTCTGGAATCAATTTCATTTTTAAAGGACATCATTTTGATAATACAAAACACACAGAGTGTATTAAATATAGTATTTAAATTTCCTCCTTATCAAATATAATGGTACATTCCTTTATTTAAAATTTAATTTTAAAATACTTTTTTTCTGAATATTAATCTGTTATTCATTTGAAGAAACAGAAAGGATTTATTTTTCTGTTTTGATGAGATATTGATTCTCATGAGAATTTCTTTTTTAAACTACCTTTATTAAAAGTTAGTGTAATAAAGTTATTTTTTGTTGCCTCTGAAATAATTTGTAGTATTTGATATATGTAGGATTGTCATATTTAGGAAATAAAAGTATAGCATGCTTTGTTTAATTTCAACTTCACATGAATGACAAATTTTGGGGGGATAAGTGTGTTCCATACAATATTTGCTACATACTTATGCTAAAAATGATTCATTCTCTGAAATTCACACTTAGCATTGCATCCTATAAAATATCTGTCAACTGTAAATATATATCATCATTACTTAAAAACATAGTTTTAATGACGTATTTTTCTAATATGACAAGTGAAGAACAAATTCTACATAATAAATTATCTCCAATAATTCCACACTTAACTTCCTCCTAGATGACAATGGTTAACTACTTAGTACAACATTATCTAAAGTGTACAGAATCTACTTTCAATAGAAATAGCAATTGCACAAAATATTTTGAAATCGTGTTCATGTATGATAAGTTTCTTTTCATGGAAAGCAACACTTTAAATGAAATTCATCATGTTGGACTTATATTTTGCTTCTTTTGGGTAATTAGGCTCATGAAATACTTTATTTTCAGGTTGCTATGGGACGATATTTGTTTACTACACTGAACATTTCAGTAATTCTACTAGAGTAAAAAGAGATTTTAATTAGTCTATTATTTCATGCTAATTCTCTGGGAATAAATAATCGTATCAATGTTTCAGAGTTATTTTTAAGTTTACAATGAATAATTAGGACAGATAATGGAGCAGCTCCTTGACATTTTCTGTGTTACAGATACTGTTTACAAGCTCATGAAAGTTAGCTTTATTCCACGACATGGAATACATAATACATAAACATGGACATACATTTTTAATAAAATTTCACAGAATTTACAAGTACTCTGAAGACCATTCATAGGCAACTGTTAAAAATCCAGAAAGTACTCAGAAAATGTAATAAGTTGGACATTTAAAATTTAATAGCTCACACTTATTGTTTTACAATTTATTGAAATATTTTTACCTGATAGTTCAATAAAAAAATCATGCCAAGTACAAAGTAGCTCACATATTAAAACACATATAAATCACACACATACACATTTCTATATTTGTTTTTTTTAAAACTTCTCCAACAAGCAATAACAAATTAACATTTAGGAATTCACCTCCCTTTATGTATGGATCTCATAAGTAAGATGAGAAAGTAGCGTATTTACTGTTTTATACTTTAGTAATTATTAATATGTATATATTTTATCTAAACATAGGATTAGGATTAATTTCTCTTAAGAATGGAAGAATATCACATATTTGAGCACATTCTGTGCCCTTAATTAGCAATTGCAAAATCATCCTAATTTAGGGAAGTAGTTATGAGATAAAGTATTGCCCTTTATACTTTATTCATTGATAAAGATACTTGACATTGAGTGATTCGACTCGGTTACCTCAAAAACGATGCCAGAAACAATGAAACTAAGCTTATTAAAATAAGTGCATATCCTTTCAAAATGTATATATATTGCTTTAAAGAATGTTAACCACAATTTTAGGTGAAGAGATAAAAATTAGCTCTTATTTTCTCATTTCAATGTGTTTTTTGTTGTTGTTGTTAAATAAAAATTATCATAGCACATGATGGCAATACACTATTTCTCCTTCTTTTTTTTTATTCTCAGATAAAAATAAAGAACACTTTCTCTTGGTAGAGTGACAGAACTTAATCACACTATCATCAAGTATCCTAGAAAACTTGTCACACCTTTTGCAAACAAAGGGGCTATATCTCCTATAACGTTTCCAGAGGATTGGCATGGAGAAATAAAAGATGAGGAAGAAAAATGGTGAATATTACCAATCCCATAAAACACAAAATACTTACAGTTGGCTTCTATTTTGCAGAAGACTCTTTTGCCTTTGTAGCTGAGATTATGCATGGCATAATGTATTGTGGTTGCCTCCAAATGTGATTCGTACACTGAAACGCAAAAGCACAGAAGACATGTCTGCTCTTTTCATGGAGTCACATAAATATTCATCATGATAATATAGTCTTCAGGTGGTCTTGAAATCTTTGTCATTGTACATAAGGGAGTGCCTATACAAATGGAATAGCACTATCAGAAACTTAAATAAGTCCATCACCTAGAAAACATAAAGACCAAGTGCTTTAAATCCCTGAAGGTAATTTTTAGGAGGATTGTGCTAATTTACCATAGTAGAATGTTAATTGTTGTGTTATACACATAATAGATATTCTACTACTGAGACAGTAACCCAATTGTATATTACAAATCACATGTGCTATCTAGATTTTCTGTTTTTATGAGAATATTTTAATAATACCATGTGAAATATGATATTTTTACATGAATGTACATAATAAAACATGAAAAACATTAAGGCATTATATGTAATATATTTTCAGCCACGTAAAATTTACTGTAGTTTATATAAAATTTTCTTCATCTCACATTAAACTTCTGTTAAAATGTAAGATTAATGAAACTGAAATATTTGGACAGCAAAACATCTATGACTTTCAAATGTACTTGTTAAGAAAATCATGTTGTGAATCAATGTAAAAGGTTCATGACTACACATGTTTTTGCTGTGGTCAAAAAAGACTAAAAAATTTAAAATGGAAATGAAAATTGTTTGATTTAGAAAGAGCCAAAGATGTTCTAAAAATATGTTTTAAATAAGTTAAAATAGTTCTTACATAAAGTTCAACAGGCTTTAACATTTCAAAACTATAATTTTAAAGCCCCAATATATTTATTAGCTACATTAAAATATAGGCTTAAAAGATTTCATCTGTATACATGCTGAAAAACTGCTATAATTTTGAAAACTTTATTTACGTATGTTTAATCCATTTTAGTAAACTATTTATACAACCACGTAGATTCTATACTCTGCCAATTAAAAAAAACACAACTCTAGTTCACATTTTTATTGCTATTAAAAAAATCTATATTTTGAAAATAAATTGCACAGTAGGCCAAGATAAACATCCAAATTTGTATGATTTAAAATTTTGATAATTTAATTTAAAACCACATTATAATTTTACACACATCTGAGTAGGATTTTTGTTTTTAATGAATCACTCTCTCAACTATGGACAGTTACCTGTAGTGTATAATGGCAAATATATTTGGAAATCATCAGCCTAGTATGTAAAAATATAGAAGCAAATGAATAAAATAATTACCAAAAAAAGGAATTATTAACTGTACAGATAAAAGTTACTCCATGCGACAAAGAATCACCTATATTTTCATCCTGTCCTTTTCATTGCACAGTTGCTTGTGGAAAATGGCTATAATAATGGAAATAGAAAGCTATAAATAATAAGAAATAGGAAACGTACCTTCACACCGCTAAAACAACACAGTTACAATCATGATCTTTTAAGAATGACTAACACAGCAATTTTTGTTAAGTAATCAACAAATGAAAGCATTAGCAGTCAGTCATTGTCTTCCAGCAGAATTTCCAGTTAAGATTCCAGCTGGCAGCTCTAAAAAGCAATTAAGGTTATCCCTTTACAGTAATTCACTCTAATTTGAAAAAGGTGTTTCAAAAGGCCATCACAGAATTTCTGTGTTACAGAGAGAGTAGTGTAAAAAAGCACTATCCTCACAGTGCACCTGGCTGTTACTTGCATACAGTTTTCTTGACACTGCATTGGAAAAGATAAACTAGATATCAAACAAGTACAGTAAGTTTAATATATTCAACTACCTTTAAACTGAATGCACATAATTTCCCGCCTATATATTCAAATTCAGACACCCAAGCCAGAAATTTAGTAGTAATATTATAAGACTTCTAAATAATAAAATCAATAATAGAAGAAGTGACTGCCATGAAGTGACTTACCAGAAATGAATGACACAATATTTGAAGCATCAAATATGGGCATTTCCACCTATTCTACTTCCAATGATTCTATTCCTAACCTTTATATGCAATAGTTATGGCAGAAATTGGAAATAAGATTTTCATGTCAATTCAAATGTTCTCATTGAAAAGCTGTCTATTTATTTGTGGTAAATTATTTTACCTTCCCATGTTTTATTTTTCTCATTTGCATACTGCAAAAGCAATACTAAATTTTTAAGGTGAATTTGAAACGTTGATAAGCCACCTAGTACAAAGCCTGATACCTAGCAAATGCTCATGAAACACGGGCAATTTTTCTTATTACTATCACCTAGGCATTCTAGCCTGAACTGCGGTAGCCATAGTTACAGAAATTTATAGTGCAGTAAGAGTACATAGGTATAATCAATGGGTTACCTGTCAGCCTCAGGAGTGAGGAAAATGTGATTTGACTACAGACATGGTACTCATTTTGTGACATAATTGCATAGCACATACCAAGAGGCACCCGGAGGAAGTCCTTCTTTATTAGTCTAAGGTAGGTGAAAGGTACAAATTTAAATTCACGTGGAAATATTGTTTGGAATGGAGTATTTGTTTTGTAATGAAATTACGTATTTATGACAGCCGATTTTTTAAATTCCTGAAGTGAAATCTTTACTGGATGCTGTAGTATATTTTATCATCCTAATACTGAAAAAAAATTATACAATCCTAAAATATATGGGCCAACACTCTATTATAAAATGGCAGCAACCATTTGTGGCTGTTTTCTTGATTTATTTTTTCCAGGTTTGGCTTGAAACAGCTGGAAGTTTCTAACAGTATACAGAGGTCAAAGAAATTAAGAAATATTACTGTATGTTGTACTTAGGTTACAGTAGCCTTTTCTGATAAGTCCAGATACCATTGATAAACACAGAAGGTAGGGAAATTCTGGGCAGAAGAGGGATGGTCCCTAGTGAGGACTCTACCTTCAAACTGAAAAGCCTGAGATCATGGACCAAAAGGAGAACTTACATGCCTGTTTTACACTCAAATGTTGAATATTTCAAAATCATCCTGGCCCAACTCTCACCCATCCTGCACCCAGAAAAAACCTGGACTCAGCCTGCAGAGAGAGGAGAAGCAGCTGGACACTAGAGACTACAGTTGGGTGTCAGTGAGAAGGGGCTTGACTTCAGAGGGACAGCTTCACATCAAAGCTTCAGAGAGGAGCCTGGCCAGCGAAATTATCTTCATGCTCTGTCCCCATTCTATCTCACCTTCCCACTGAGAGCCACTTTCATCAGCAATAAAATTTCCTACATTTACCATCTTGAATTTATTTGTGTAACCTCATTTCTCCTGAATGCTGGACAAGAACTTTAGTGCCAAAAGTATGGAAACAAAAGGCTGTCTGATGATTAATTCTGACTGTCAACTTGATTGGATTGAAGAATAAAAAGAATTAGTCTGGGTGTGTCTGAGAGGGTGTTGCCAAAGGAAATTGGTATTTGAGTCAGTGGGCTGGGAAATGCAGACCCACCCTTAATCTGGGTGGGCACCGTTTAATAAGCTGCCAGGAGGACTAGCATATATGAAGGAAGAAAAATGCGAAAAGTTTGCCCTAGCCTACCTGCTTATATTTGCCTACTGTATTGGATGCTTCCAGCCCTTTTGGAATCCAAGTTCTTCAGTTTTGGAAGTCACGCGGACTGTCCTTACCCCTAAAACTGCACACGGCTTATTGTAGAACCCTGTGATCATGTTAATTAAAACTTAATATACTTCCCTTTATATATATATGAAATATATATATGTATTCCATTAGTTCTATCCCAATAGAGAACCCTAATACAGATTTTTGTACCAGGAGTGGTTCTACAGGTAATGAATATTAAGAATGAAGTCCCTTCATTGGTTTTAGGGTTTCTAGAGCTATTGGCTTAATAAGATTAGACCTCAAAAATGCTAAGGACTCCACTTCTAATTGTATAGAGAACACTGATACTCCTTAGCATGAACTGTTTAGAGAGCTATGCGAAATTAATGCATCTGAAACTCCTGATTCATTGCCCATGAAAGGCACAGAGTTTAATGACTCTATACATAATACTTTTTACCATAAGTGTAGAACTAAGCACCATAATGAAACTGGTTGGCAGATCCTAAGTTCAGTGAAGAAAGTAATGAAAAAAATGATGAACTCAGGGATTCAGTCTCCTGGCTTCAAAAGCAGATACTGAGAATGAAATCTGCTAAGATTGCCCTGAGTGAGAGTCTTATCTCCTTTGGGGAAAGAGCTGAAATTGTGGAAAAACAGACACCAACTCTTATCATGCAAGTGGCTCACCGGCAATGAAAGGTACATGCACAGACTCACCAGGTGTCTACAGTTATAGTGAGGGCATTGATTAGAAAAGAATGTGACCCTGCAACTTAGAATGGGGACATGTGAAAGGACCATGATGAAGCTGGGGACAATGAATTTGTAAACTCTGATGAATGTTTTTTCCAGAAGAAACAGCTGTAACATCCCCATTAGAGGCAACATTCCTTCCACAACCCAGGCTGCCACCAGCCAATCCAACTTTCACTTATGTGACAAACCCTGTGCTAACTGAGGCAACAGTGAAGGCCTCCCTTCAGGCAGTTTCCAAGCAAGACAATGTTAATTCTCCGAAGGAGCCACTCCCAACAGTCCTGTTTGCTTCTGAACCTATAATTAGACTAAAGTTCCAGTGGGCCCCTACAGGTGAGGTTGAGAATGTAACCTATGAGGAGTTGCACTACATGCAAAAAGAAACACTTGACTTTTCAAATTTATGTAAACAGAAATCTGGAGAACAAGCATGGGAATGGATATCAAAGGTGTAGGATATTAGTTGAAGGAATATTGAGTTGGATGACACTGAATTTATTAATTTGGGTCAACTAAGCAGAGACTCTGCATTCACTGTTGCAGCTCAGAGTTAAAAAAATGTTCTGATAGTTTATTTACTTGGTTAGCTGAAATACGGATTAAAAGATGGCTCATGGTAAGCAACCTGAAATAATTTTTTTACATCTTTCTAAAGAACTATGAAATGGTCCATTGTGAGCACGCTTAAAATGCCTGATCTCCCTGTGTTTAATATAGAGGAAAGCATCCAAAAGCCTAATAAGATTGGGATGTTGGAGTGGATTAGTCACTTTAGACCTACTCATTCCAGCTAGGAGAGTACAGAAAATATACCCTTTACCAACACCTTGTGAAATAGATTTGTTAGGGCAGCACCTGCACCTTTGAGCCCTCTAATTATTATTCTCTGTATGTCAGATCTAACATTGGGAACCACAGTAACTCAACTGTAAAATTTAAATACAATGAAATTAGTCCTGCCATAGCAAGTGCCATGTGACAACATTCAACCATCAAAGGCAAGGTTGTTGTAGTTACATTAAGCGACAGCAGAGGCAAAGCAGCAATCAGAATAATATGACTTGTGTAGAGCTCAGATATTAGCTAATTAACCATCTTTCCTGCAAGTGAAAGTGATAGGAAGCCTACTGCATTCCTACTTAATTTATATAAACAGAAAACATCTGGGTCAAAATGAAGGAAGATTAATTTCAAATATTAAAAAAAGAGAATGACAGCCCCTCAATCAATTTCCAGACTTCAGCCAGTTAACAGACCCAGAATACCTTGAATCAAGGGAAGGCCAGGTCCCCTTGAGGAAAAAACCCGCTACATGACGGACAATTTATGCAGTAAATCCTTCCCAAAGGAGACTGCTTACCTTTTACAAAGATAACTGTGCTTTGGAGACAGGGAAATTATCAGACATTTTGGACACCACTGGATACTCACTGTATGATGATGTAATGCTCACCAAAGGCAATTTGCCTTCACCTGGCAGGGCCACCAATATATCTTTACATTCCTATCTGAGGGGTATATAAACTCTCCAGCTTTGTGTCATGATCTTTTTCAGAGAGATCTTGATCAAATGTGCTTCTGTAAGATGTTACATTTACCCATTACATTTATTACATTATGTTGATTGGATCCAATGAGCAAGAAGTAGCAAACACACTGGATTTATTTGTGAGACATTTGTATGCAGGAGATGGGAAAAAAATCCAACTAAAATTGAGAGACCTTGTACCTTCGTAAAATTTCTAGGGGTCCAGTAGTGTGGGGCTTCTGGAGATATTCCTTAAAATGTGAAGAATAACTTGCTTCATCTGGCCCCTCCTAAAACCAAGAAAGAGGCACAATGTGGCCAGGAGTACTGGCTCCTGCCTGTAATCTCAGCACTTTGGGAGGCAGAGGTGGACAGATCAGGAGATCAGGGTATCTAGACCATTCTGGTCATCATGATGAAACCCCATCACTACTAAAATGCAAAAAAAAAAAATAAAAATAAAAAAAAAATTACCCAGCTGTGGTGGTACATGCCTGCTACATGGGAAGCTAAGGAAGGGGAATCACTTCAACCCAGGAGACAGAAATCACAGCTGAGGTCATGACACTGCACTCCACTCTAACAACAGAGGGAGACTACGTCTCAAAAAGAAAAGAAAAGAAAGAGGCACAATGCCTAATAAGCTTATTAGAATTTTCAAGGCAACACATTGCTAATTTGGGTGTGTTACTCTTGCCCATTTATTGAGTGACCTGGAAGGCTGTGAGTTTTGAGTAGAGTCCAGAACAGGAGAAGGCTCTGCAATAGATCCAGGTTTCTGTGCAAGCTGCTCTGCCACTTGAGCCGTGTGAACCAAAAGATACAATGATGGTTGAGGTGTCAGTGGCAGATGGGGAGCATTTGGCAGGCCACCATAGGAGAAGCACAGTAAAGACCTGTAGGATTTTTAGAGCTTTTGGTAGGTCCCCATAGGTGAATCACAATGGAGACCTCTAGGATTTCGTAGCACGGCGCTGCCATCATCTGAAGATAACTACTCTCTTATTGAGAGACAGATCTTGCCCTGTTACTGGGCTTTAGTGGAAGCAGAATGCTTGATTCTGGGTCATGAAGTCACCAGGTAGCCAGAACTGCCTATCATGTACTGGAAGCTTTCTGACTCATCAAGCCATAAAGTGAGGTGTGCAGAGTAGCATTCCATCATCAAATGGAAGTGGTATATACATAATCGGGTTACAGTAGGTCCTGAAGGCACAAGTAACTTACATGAGGAAGTGGCTGAAATGTCCATGGTCTCCACTCTTCCACACTGCCTTCTTTCTCTCAGCAAGCACTAACAGTGCCATGCAGAGCCCCTGTGATAAGTTGACAGAGGAAGAGGAGACTACCTGGTTTACAAATACTTCTGCATGATATGCAGGGACCACCCAAAAGTAGACAGCTGCAGCACTAAAACCTCTTTCGCTGACGTCCATAAATGACAGCAGTAAAGGGAAATCTTCTCAGTGGTCAGAATGCTGAGCAGCACACCTGATTGTAAACTTTGCAAGGAAGGAGTAATGCCCATATATGGGAATATATACTGATTCTTTTGTCGCCAATAGTTTCACTGCATGGTCAGAGATTTGGAAGAAACATGATAGGAAATTAGGTACCAAAGGAATCTGTAGAAGAAGTATGCAGACAGACCTCTCTGAGTAGTAAAAGACTGTAAAAATATTTGTATCCCACTTGAGTTCTCAAAACTGGGTAACTTCAGCAGAGGAGGATTTTAAAGATCAACTGAATAGAATGACCTGTTCCACAGACAACACTCAGCCTCTTTCCTACACCACCACTGGCATCACCCAATGGACCAGTGAACAAAGTGTCCATTTAGCCAGCAATGGAGGTGATGTATGGGCTCAGCAATGTGTACTTCCACTAACAAAGGCTGACCTGGCTATGATCACTGCTGAGTGACCAATTTACCAGCAGCAGAGACCAACAATGAGAGCTTGATACAGCACCATTCCTCAGGGTGATATGCCAGCTACCTGTTGGCAGGTTGATTACATGGAACGCCTTCTATCATGGAAACGGCAGAGGTTTGTCTTCACTGGAATAGACACTTACTCCAGATATGGGTTTGCCTATCCTGCATGTAATGCTTCTGCCAAGACTCACATCCCTGGACTCACAGAATGCCTTATCCACTGTCATGGAGTTCCAGGCAGCATTGCCTCTGACCAAGACTTTATTACTTTCCAGATAATAAAGTGTGTCAATGGGCTCATGTTAATGAAATTCACTAGTCTTACAATGTTAGCCATCATTTTGAAGCAGCTGTATTGAAAAAATGGTGGAATGGTCTTTTGAAGTGACAATTACAATACCAAAGCAAACTGGTGGCAATACTTCACAAGGCTGGGTCAAAGTTCTCCAAAAGACTATGTATGCTCTCAATCAGCATCCAATGTATGGCATTGTTTCTCCCATAGCCAGAATTTAGAGGTCCATGTATCAAGGGTTGAAAGTAGAAGTGACAGCACTCACCATTGTGTCTAGTGATCTGCTAGCAAAATTTTTACTTTCTCTTTCCACCACATTACATTCTGCTGGCATACAGGTCTTAGGAGTTACAGAGGTGGGTGTGGTGATTGACTCACACTATCAAGATGAAATGAGTCTACTACTCCACAAGGCAGGTGAGGAAGAGTATGTATGGAACAGAGAAAATTCACTGGGACGTCTATTACATACCCTATGATTAGAGTCAATGGGAAATTACAGCATCCTGATCCAAGAAGGATGAGAAATAAACCAGACCCTTCAAGAATGAAGGTTTGCGTCACTCCACAAAGAAGAAAACTGTGACCTGCTGAGGTGTTTGATAAAGGCAAACAGAATACAGAATGGATAGAAGAAGACAGTCATCAATACCAGCTATGACCAAATGAACAGCTACTGAACCGAGTACTGTAATTGTCATGAGTATTGCCTCCTTTTATTCAAAATATGTTTGTGCATGGATACACTTGTGCCAAGAAAAGTCTTCATTTTATTTCCCTTATCATGTGACATAAGATTTATTTACTTCATATCAGGATTTAAGTATTTTTATGTAACAGTAATTGGGTTGGGAATTGATGCATTTCTGATTGTATGAAAGATACTTGTATTATGTTAGAGATAATTTTGACCTTAATATTGTCTTTATTTGAAGATAAAGTGTAATCTCCAGGAGTTGTATATGTGTTTAATTTGATAAGCAGTACACTTATGATGATTAATACTGATTGTCACCTTGATGGGATTGAAGGATGCAAAATATTGATCCTGGGTGTATCTGTGAGGGTGTCTTCAAGTGAGATTAACATTTGAGTTAGTGGGCTGGGAAAGAGACTCATGCTTAATGTGGGTGGGCACCATCTAATCAGCTGATAGTGCAAAGAGTATACAAAGAAGGAAGAAAAACAGGAAAAGCCTTGAATTGCTTAGCCTTCCAGTCCTCATCTCTGCCCTGTGCTGGATGCTTTCTGCTCTCAAATACTGGATTCCAAATTCTTCAGTTTTGGAAGTCAGACTGCCTGCCTGTCCTTGCTCCTCAACCTGAAGACTGCTTATTGTGGGACCCTGTGATCATTTGATTTAAGACTTAATAAACTAATATATATATATATATATATATATATATATATATATATATACATGCACACACACACAAAATCAGTTCCATCCCTCTAGAGAACCCTAATACAGGCTATCATACTGACCCTCCATCGAGCTGTTAACACTTAAGCTATCTACAGATGGCTGAGCTAAAAGAGTACTGCAACACTTATTCTGGAGTATCAGGGGTCACAAGCTCCACCCTTAGAGGCTGTCTCAGAGCCAATACAAAGGTTGCCCTGGCAAATACCCTAAAATGCTCACCCTAGCTCTACACTGACTAACCTACATACTCCCCATCCTGTGAGTGGTGAAATACAGCAAATCCAAGTGAGTGGAGTTTGCCCCTGCTAGAACCAAAGCAGCCAGCTAGTTCCAGCACCTTTTACCTCCAGTTTCCCCCAAAGAAAGGGTCAGGGAAATATCCTGCTTCATTTGGGGTCTGCCTGGGATTCATCAAAAGTGTAGGTGAATGCACATCTGTAGGATCTCTCTCTTCTTCTCCTCAGAATATTGTCTCACCTATGCCACTTGCAAACTACAGGATGCAACCCTACCATCTCTTTCTTAAGAGTGAAAGGAATGCTGGCTCTATTTTCCTTTTTGAAGGTCTAGCCATCATGTGAGACAAGAATAAAGTTCTGCATCAAATGAAGACATCTGCCGAGGCCACTCCTTAGTGTTGATGAAAGGCCCCAAGACTGAATCTAGTTCCTGACTGTTTCATTAGGACATGGCCCACACTTCCTGACTTTTCTATAGGAATTTTCCTTTCTTCTTCTATGACTTGAAATGTGTCCTACCTATTCGTTTATAATGTTAAGTGTTTGGACACAAACTGCAGAAATATATCTAGAAACAATAAGAATTAGACCCAGCTATCAGATATGCAATTCAGAACAATACAGTTTCTTCCTACTCTTAGAGGTGCCATCCTGACCTCCACCAAAATAACTTCACTTGCAGGCAGTGCAAGGTTAACACTCCTCACCCTCTCCCAGCCCAGCAAGACCACTTCAGCATGTTGGCAGCAGGCACGTGCCAGGCTCAATGGCCACGCTAGGTGGGAGAGAACAGCGGCTGCTGCCAGTGACTAAGGGAAGTCTAAAGAACCAGAGACACTACACAGCACCTGGCCAGTGTTTCCCACTTATAGTTCATTTCTACCACCAACCCATAGAGTATTTCCTCCCCTGGCCATGGGATTCAGCTTGGTATAAACCAGAGGAGGGATACAAAGATTAAAGGAATTCATTTGCATAGAACGAGAAGTTCTTCTACCATTTTTAAGCTGTTTTTCTCTCTTTTTTCTTTGCAAGAGAATATTTTTCCTACCTCATCACTCTCCTTACAATAGGGAAGTAACAGATGAACAACTCCAATGAGCAAATAACTGAAAATTTGGCAAGGCCTGTCAGAAAATTAATCTGCATAAATCCATGCTAACCCTGAGACATCTTTTTATCCAAAACACAATTCTACATTTTCAGTTGACCCCCTAGAAAGGAAAATCAGATCTGAGGAATCCAAAGCCAGGAAAAAAGCACTGGCATAAATGGGCAGGACTGATTGTTGCTGATGAACCTCCTGGTTAACTAGCCCCTGCATAAGGAGGCCATTTTCCATGACATAGATAAGACCCAGGGAACCCAAAGGCTGCCAACAATAGGGGGAATGGAGGCATAGGCGCTCTCCAATTCTTGAGTGCAGGCCTCAATGGCACTGATAGAAGATGTCTGTCTAAGGTTACCAGGTTTTGAGGATAAAAGAGAGACAAAAAATACTCTCCCCTGGAGAGTGTCCTGAATGACTGGGACTACTTTGACTCTCAGACTCTAGAGGAAAATCACCTCATATTCCTTTGCAGAAAGATTTGGCCAAATTATAATCTACAGGAAGGACTGGATTGACCTCAGGAAAAAATAATCCTGAAGTTGAACCCCTTTTCTATAAATGTGAGGACCAATGGTATGCAGGCTTTCTTTACCTTGCAGGGTAATTCAGACTTTTGCCACCAGGATAGGAATGATCCAGCCCTCCTGCTTGCTATCTAAGGAGAGGCTGCAACTGTAATCCCAGAGAACTAAAGAATAAACCACCTTGCCATGAATGTACCTATGAAATAATCTTGCATGATCTGCACATGTACCCTAGAATCTAAAGTACAATAAATATAAAATTAAAAAATAAAAAAAAAATAAACCCTACAGGTACCTCTAGGAGGGAGCCAGCTCTCTCCAGCCTTGCTTCTCTGAGTATAACTAATCCTTCCTATCCAGTTTGTCTCTCTTGCTTGACTCCTCCTAGAAATCCTCAAATTAGACAAACCCCAGTCTCCCTCTTAGCCCTCGAACAGATGTCTGGTGAATCTGGCACCAGTAAGGTCCAGGTACCCGTTTCTTAACAAAACTGAAGAAAAATTAAATGGGATCTTGGAAAGTTTTCAGATGACTCTGACAAATAGTATAGAGGCTTTCCAGAATTTATCCCAGGTATTTGAACTCTCCTGAAAAGACATTATGTTACAAACAGAAGAAAAATTAAATGGGATCTTGGAAAGTTTTCAGATGACCCTAACAAACACCATAGAGGCTTTCCAAAATTTATCCCAGGTATTTGAACTCTCCTGGAAAGATATTATGTTATTTTTGAATCAATAACACTGAGAATCACATTGCTCTGCAACCGCCAGAAATTTGCGGAT